ATATGTGGGAGACATGCTGGCTTGGGTTCATCAAGCACTGCCATCGGAGAGGGAAGCAGCCCAGACTCTCTTTGCTAAGTGCTCTAATATTGGTGGGTATTTTTTGTTCCTTTGATGTTTTTGATATTCAAAGAAATAGTATTTAAAACAACAAGTGCAAGTGCTGAAAGTAATTGGCTAGTTTAGTAAACAGCCATTGTAATAAAAGTAATAACTAAGAAATTAGTTAACCAGAGATTGTAAGCAACAAAGAAGTATGCAGGATCTTCATCTGTTCCTAATCTAAATCGCTAATGTTGCTTGCATCACAGTCTTAAGAAAAGCTGCTGTACTAACAGTATAACCAAGTTGCTGTGAAAGTGTCAAAGGAAATACTAATGATGAAAAGCCATATAAAAAAGTCTTTGTTTGAGATTGAATATTACTGCCAAAAGTAATATTTCCTTTATTCATTCTATTTATGTTATTTTCTGAATTTGGTTTTGCTATTAGAATATTTGGTTAAAAAGGTTGATATGTAAGATTGATATTAAATTGGATTTCACAAAGTGAAGTAGAAAGTAAACTCACCTGGTTGACAGGAATGCAGTTTTATAGAGCAGAATTGTCTAAAAAAATGCTCTGCAGAAATTACCAGACCTTTTGATTGAGTGTTTCAGAAATAATGAGAGACGTTGTGGGAGATCCTCTGGCCTTTTCCATTTATGGGATTAATGCCAAAGTAGATAACCACAGTGACTCACAGGGCAGCCATGCATGCGTTTCTAATCTCACACTAAGAGGTAAAGAAAGTTGGTTTGGTCAGAACAGCACTTAAAGACTGATAGCCCACATTGCACTCTGGTTTACATATGTATATATGCTTTTTCTTTGTATTGATATGATTTTAATCTTTTGATGGACTTTGCTGCTTTGATTTTGCATTGTTTATTTTTATGTGGTTTTGTGTGTTTCATGTAGAGATTTAGATTTTTGCAGATTTTGCTGCAGATTTTGGGGGGTACAAATGCACCATGATCTGGCTTCCATTAAAGGGGCACCATTTCAACAGCTGTGATTTATTACAGGAATATTTTGACAGAAATAGCATTCAAAAACAAAAAAACAAACAAAGAAAATAGAAAAAAATTATACATGCTTGGGCAGTCATATTAACCCCTTCTTTACTATAAAGGCTTTACTTTGCCATGCCATGCTATCCTCCATGTACTGAGAATGTGAGTCGGCCAGAGTTAGTCAGTAACCACCTTTTATAAATTATTTGAATGATCTTGTGATATATAAAAGAGTATACCAACAGAAATAGGGAAGAGGGTGTGTAAATTTGCATGTCTTTATGCATATATGTGTGTATGCATTCATCATTTGGCTCATAGAATAGATTGCAGAGACTGTCATGATTGCTTCATTCACTTGAGTTATGCTGTTATGAATTCTGCATTGATTTCCAATCATAGTCACTTGCCACTATATCTCTGTCATGTCAACTTCATTATCACTTCCATTCAAACAGGGTTTAGGCTTCATTTCTCTCATTCATCATAAGGTAGAACAATCAAATAGTAGATTCCAATGTAAAGTAACTTCATTAACCCCGTGAATCTGGTTGCATCATGGCAATCATATGGACCAAAGTGCAGCAATTAGGTTACATAAGTGGTATGTACGCCAGGCACGTGGGAACACACGTGTGCGGTGACAAAACTTTATGCCTAGCCTTTCCAAAGTTATTTTGTGTAAACATTTTTAGTGATTTTGCCATTTTCCAATGTCCATATTTATCTTTTGATTTACTTTATCCAGATGGTAATTGACTGTTTTTCCCTCATTGACTATATCATCTCTCTATGTAGTAAATAACTCAGTGCAAGAAAAAAGAAAAAGAAAAATAACAATTTGTTATTTGTGTCATATATTGTATTTTTTCATAATATTTAAATTTTCTGTAATATGGCCTGCACTGCCAGTCATGCCAGGAATATGATGTTGAGTATGGAAATGACATCCTCCCAGAAGCCAGTGCTCTTCCACTCATGGCTTACAGACATTACATTCCACACCCGTATTGATGGGAATAATGCAAAAGTCCCAAATCAGTCAAATCGCCTTCCAGGAGGTTTGCACACTTGTGGCAAGCCTTTTCCATCACCCTGGCCTTTGGCAAATTCGTGTCACTTGGCCTGCAGCCATTTTTACCCATGATGGCAAGTTAACGTTAACCAGCCCTCAAACCAAATTTTTTCACGTCACCCACATTGAAAAGGTTAAGCTCTACAATAATAGACCCATACCAGAGCCATAAATCAAATAGAAATAAATGAGACCTTTAAAAGGATGTGTGTACTTCCTTATATCTCTTGGTACATCAATAACTTTCATAATGGAGGTGCATGTGTCCTTCAACATGGAATTAGGTAAAGAAAGGGTTGAGCAATACTCTGTTGTTATATTTGCCTCAACGAACACTTCTGAATAAAGTTTATGAAGAAGCATTAAAATA